TGGCTGCAGCCAGGCCAAGAACCTGTTCAGAGAACCAAGAGGTTGACCTTCCCTCCCCCTTGGCTGAGCAGCAATGGCAAGACAGTGGCTGGAGTTACTGACACGGAGGCCAGCAATGGGAAAGGCCTGCAGCTACACTGCTGCTTCCAAAGCCTTGTTCTAGGACAGTAGTTTCTGAGGTGATGGGCACATGAATAAAGAGCAGCAGATCTGGCATGGAGCCTAGAAAAACTGAATAGTCCAAGGTTAAAAATATCTGGTCTCTTGCATCCCAGCTTACGAACTGAGTCTTTGCTCTCTTGCTTCTCAGTGAACCCGGTTCCTGCTTGAATAAGGGCTTCATGCTGGCTTTCCAAAAGAGAACCTTGAAATGCTTAAAGAATCAATTGCCTGACCTTGATTCTGGGAAATAGCCACTTTGATTTCTTTAAAGATTAAGTTAGTCTTGGAATAGAGAAAAGTAGGATGTGGAAAGAGATGATATGTAATTTTTATTTTTCAGTCAGATTGCCAAGTCCACTTACAACCACAGATAATTCCACCAAACATGGAAGAGTACATGAACAGCCTCCTAACAGCAGTGCTCCCTTCTGTGTTGAACAAATTCCGTATTTATCTAAGTTTATTGAGGCTGCTGGACTACAGTATATCTGATGAAGTGACCAAGGTATGGAAAGACTTCACTAATATGTTTTCAGCTGTATATTCAGAAAGAAGGCACCCTAATAAAAGTTACTGTACTCCCTGTTGGTGATTCTCCTTCAAGTTTTCTAAAAACCAAACAGAAGCATTTTCTTGTCTGGAATGTGCCTGCAAGGATTCATATTCTTGAGTATTTCAGTGTATACTTGCCATGTTCCCTGCTTTCTAAAACTCCTTTTGAAAACTTAATTCTTTTCAAAGATGAGAACTAGCCTGTTTCTTACTCAAGCTCACTTCCTGACAAGAAGGAGCTGAAACATTTCTCCTGTAATCTAAGGGTCATTATGGTGTTTAGCTCCTTAAAAGCTTGTCATGTCCTGAAGATGCTTTTTGGGCACTTACTGATGTGCTGTGCTGTGCTGTTCATAGGCAGTAGAAGAAGACTTTGTAGAAATGCGCAAGAATGACCCCGAGAGCATAACAGCTGATGATCTGCACAGAACTCTGCTGGTGGCAAGGTGGGTGGTGCTGGTTGTCCTAACTCTAGGCTTTTGGAGCAAGCTGGTGACAAAGGAAGTCAAAGCTCACTCTGCAACGTGATTGTGGTTGCAGGAGAAACCAGAAGGTGGAATTGCCTCTTCCTGTGCTTCCCTTGTCACAGATTCTTAGTTAAAATGTTCTCTACCCTCCTTCTTCCCATGCTTTCTAGTTCATAGGATACTGCAAGAAAACTGGCTTAGTGCTGTTTGAGCTTATCAAAGCTGACTCAGGAACAAGCTCTTTTTCACTTGCTGTTTCTATTCTACTCACCTAGGTTCCTGTCTCTGAGCGTGGGGCAGACGACGCTGTCACGGGAGAGGTGGCTGAGAGCAAAGCAGCTGGAGGCGCTGCGGAAAGCCAGGCTGCAGCAGCAGAAGTGTGTCAATGGGAATGAACTCTAAACCTTTGGGGCTGTCTCTATGAAAATTTGTCTAATCCTAGTTGGAACCCATACTAAGATTGGAATATTGTTTATACCAGTTTTTTTGTAGATAATTTATACCAAAAAGTTATGGATATTTACCCATGCAGTCTGAACACACTTAACTCTGTTCAGCCAGTTAAACATATTTTATGACCTTTTTTTGGAGCCTGTTTTGTAATTGCAAATTGGTAACAATGAGCAAATTGTTTGATATTAAACTTTAATACTGAAGTTGTGTAAACTTACTTCTTTTAAGAATAAGAAAATATACCCCAGAGTCCTTTATACACAACAGTGGTAGGCTCTATTCTGGAATAAATTTGTGATCTAATTTTTGAAGGGCTGACTTCTGGGGATGGGAGGTTTCAGCCAGCAGCTGCAAGAAACAGTGACTGTAGCATTTAGACCCAAATATGTGTTCCTGTGAGCACATTGCATTCATAGCAGCACTATAATATTGATAACCTTGTGGTGTAAAGAAGTTGACTTTATCTCTGTGAAGGTTCTAGTATGAAATATATCTCTGTTGTTCTTGGAGAAGACCATGACTAACTTCTCAAATCTCTCTATTTAGTCTGGCACAAATTGGAGAAAAAAAACCAAAAAAACAAAACAAACCAACCTTGGAGAATTGGTATGCAGTCATGTACTTATACAAATTTCTTTCTAATTTACCTGTAATGCAGTGTGTTTCAATGGTGTGAATAATACTAAGCATTGAGTGGTACCTACATATCTTATGCTGTACAGTTTGAGCTGTTCTTTAGAGGCCACACTGCCCCTAGAACTAGTTTAACAAGGGTGGTTGAGGCAATGAAACCTTGAGTGGGAGTAATCTGGAAAGACTTTGTGTGAGTAAGTCAGGCTGTCCTTGTGGAGCCAGCCTGCAGGAGTTAGTGATGGAGCCACTTCTAGATTGTCCTTCATTCTTTTCTGAACAAGAAAAAAAGACTCTTGCCCAATTTATATTAAGCTGATAGCAAAGGTGTTTTCTCATGATTTTGTGAACAGCAACCCCCCCCCCCCTTTTTTTTA